GCGTCTCAGGGATTTTGCATGGCTCCCGGCAGATTCCGTACAGGCTGTAGAAGAAGAAGAATGGGAACCAGCACACGACAAATACGCCCATGACAACGGCGAGGACGAAGGTGAAGCGTTTCTCCCGAGCAGCAGAGACTTTCTTCTGATTGATGGTGCTCCTTCGTTTGCGGCGAGATGAGAACAGCTCCATGGACTTGGAACTGGCACGTGACTTCCTGCTGGAGTACTTGGAGGCGGAGCTGCTCTTCCGGCTGGGCTTCCTATCTTTTTTGTAATCATGCTGTTTGGAGGAGCCGGAACCTTTTTTAGGCTTCTCATCTGATGAGCTGCTGTCATTGAAGTCATCATCATGGTCTGGATGTTTTGGCTCATTTGGCAGAGGGGGTTGAACTGCCTGCTCTTGGCAGTGCCCATTCTCATGTTCCTGGTCTTTTATGCTCCCACCCCTGTTGGACTTTAATGAACTGCCTCTGCCTGGTTCAACTTTGTCCATCCCATTTTCCAGTGGCGAGTCCACATCCCTCTTTTTCTCTGACATTGTTCTGGTCCTGGTCTTTGCCACTTGGTATATCCGGATATAGACTAGGATCATGATAACACAGGGGGCAAAGAATGATCCAATGCTGGAGTAGAGGATGTACCAGGTCTCATCGTTCAGGATACACTGGGGTCGGGTCTCATTGCTGCTTCTTTCCATTGATATGAGTGGTGGGAAAGAGATGATGGCTGAGATCAACCAAACCACCACAATCATCCCTTTAACTCTTTGAGGTGTTCTCTTTAAGTTGTACTCTACAGCCTGTGTCACTGACCAGTATCTGTCCAAGCTAATAGCACACAGATGAACAATAGAAGAGGTGCAGAATAAAACGTCCAGAGCCAGGTAAATGTCACACCAAATTTTACCAAAAAACCAGTAACCCGTAAGTTCATTTGCCAGAGAAAATGGCATGACCAGTGTGGCCACCAGAATGTCTGCACTGGCCAGGGAGACCAGAAAAAGGTTCTGGGGTGGTTTCAGTGCTCTGCTCGTTAAAACGGCGATGACAACCAAGACGTTCCCCACTATGGTAAACAAAATGAGAAAGCTGACAAGTCCAGCCAGACCCCAGATAGCGAGCTGCGTGTACTGGACCGGAGGACTGGTGGAATTAGAGGAGATGTTTTCTGCCCCTATGCCGTCCGCCAGACTGGAGCCGTTTAAAAAATCCATTTTGCGCCTTTTTTAAACTATGATTTCTAAAAATGTAAAATGTGCAGAGATGATATGTAAAGATATACCATTAGGATTTCGACGGCTATTTCAACACAGAAATCTACATCAAATGACATTTTTCTTCTCTCAACACATGCGATCTTCCACATCCTGCATGCAAGTCTTTCCTTAGGAAAAACAGAGAGAAAGAGAGAGCAAAGTCCGTATTCCAAAAGCGCGCAGACTGCTCAGCTCCTCTCCTCACCGCGTCCTCTCCCACCCCGACTGCACCCGCATCTCTCCACCTCCGCCTCCCCGCTGTGTCCTGAGAGAGGTTTGTAACAACCACGTGCTTTTTCTCCATTAGAAAAAACAGCAGCGACCTGCTCCGCCTCGTAGAAGAAATGGGAGCGATTACTGGAGAAGAACCGAAAACGGTTAAATGTTATAAGCTGCCTTTTATAATCAATCATTTATTTTAGACCGCTAACAGGATCAGTGCGAGCTTCTGCTGGAGCAGCGCTTGTTTAATGTGTGTCCCGTTTGGCTGCATTGTCGGTGCAAGCTGGCTGACAGTCAAAAATCGGAGAGCTGATCTGTGAATCTTTGACTTTCGAAGATCTTTTTCCTTACAAGAACCCGCTCCTATTCGTTTTAACCGATGAAGTAAGCAGGAGCAGTCTGTTGTAGGCTAGGGCACATTGCTGTCAGTACAGTCTGTGCGTCCCGGACCAGGGAGAGCGCGCTCTCCTCTGTCCTCCTGTGCGCACACTGGAGGTAAGTATTGTTACAGCCAGCCCAGAGGGAACAGGCGAACACATACCACAAATATAAACATTACATAGGCCTAAACAATGGCCTGTTTGTTATATCTGCACAACCATCAGGTGAATAGATATTCCAGTACTTGAAGTACTGAACATTTGCTCCAATGGAATGAACTAGAAACCTCCGGGTGACCTTGTAGTGGGAACCTTTGGCTACATCTTCTCTGCTCCCTGTCTTTATTAGTTTATAAGGCTGTATTGTTGTAATTGTGCTGATAGGGAGATTACAGGATTGCAGGGTGCATTTGTCCTGTTGTGATGGAGCTGAGTATCACTGGCTTTGAGGGATGTCAAAGGCGCTAAATCATTCATATGGAAAGCATGTGTGGATAGAATAGGGCTTACATGATAAAGTCATTTTCTTGTCCCCTGTGGGGTTTATCACTGGTATTGACAGGTTGACTCTTATCATGACTGACTTCCACATTATCTTTTATCTTATCTGGAGTTATTTATGTCTGCTTTTCCCCCTTGGGGGGGGACGACATGTTCATACACACACAGCAGCCACTCTTCTCCTGTCTCTCTTTCAGTCATATCCCTCTTTCTCTCTGCTTATCACTTTCCCGCACTTTGCAAAGGTTGTTTAAATTAAATCCACTCTTATGAGTAAAATCAGTGCCCAAAAAGCATATGTGAAAAGCTTTTGGTCTTCTTTTTTGCCCTCTGCTTCCATTAACCCTGTCCATCCTGGGTGATGCTGCCTCCTGGAAAAAGCCTGTTTCCCCTGTGGCCTATAGCCTGGTATTAAGTTCCTGGACCAGTGCATTTATTGACAACGTCTCCCAGCTAAGGATCTGCCATTAATCAAAGAGCATTCAGCCATACAGAATTAAAGAGCAGCCACAGCCGCAAGAAATGTTCAAAGTCCAAATTGATCCTCATCAAAGCTGAGGTGAAATGAGGAGGGCTCAGGGGTCAGGTCCATCTGTCTGCATGGGAAACACACTGAGGATGGTGGACAGTCTCTAACTTGTTCCTCTACCCATCCCCCAAACATCCTGCACCTTCTCGTGCTGCCTGGTTAAATTGAAATAAGGCTAGAGTGATGCTGTAGGTCAAAATGGATGCACTCTAAGCTGATTTTGAACAGACAGACAAGCCTTATTAGAGTCATTAAGTCATGTCCTGGGGCCACAGCTGTGTCATTATAAGAGGGGCGCCAGTGAGCAATCTCTGCTATTACTGAGCCCTGTTCTTGTTTCCAACATTATTCCCTTCTCTGAGGAATAAGTTGACTCTTCCTGTCTTTATCCAGAAGTGTTTGGGTTTCAAGGAAACTGTGTTGATTACTTTAATCTCTTTAAATCAAGCTTTTGTACTTTTTTGCTCTTTTCAAACTATTGAAATAATAAATTGTCCTAATTTAGGCGCCATTTCATTTTCTTTTTTTTTGTCATGCTGGTTCAGTCACTACAGCTGTACAAAGTAGTCCTCTTGTTTGTTTCTTGTAACAGAGTGATTCCTGGTTTGCAGTCCTCTGCACTTTTATTTAAGTGCTACACTGCAGCATTTGTGGAACAAAATGGAGGATGTGCCCAGAGCTTTCTATTACAGTTTTTCTCTATCGCTTTCATTCATTTCTCACAACAGAATTGAAGTTTGCAGATCTCCAAGTGCATTTCTCAAAACAACACGTACAAACTGCACAACATAGTGGATAACCGGAAAAAGCGCGTCACCTGCTCAAAATGCTTTGTCTATCGTGCAAAAGTGTGTTTTTTCATCAATCATTGTGTCAGAGGCAGCAGAATCCCATGTCATTTCCTCAACAATGTGAACGTGACAGGCAAAATTATTAGTCATGTTGTCAGTAGAACATCATACTCAGTTTTTTTTATTTACTGTAAACTATACTCAACTCAGGTTTTGATGACTAGAAACCACTAAATTACGGTACTGGTGTGTGTCATAATTTACAGTGTCCCTCCGGTAAAAATAAGAAGTGATTCTTGCAAACCATTGTGCATCAACCAGGTGTTACAGTAATTTACATGGTAAGAATAGATAATTTTCTGAATGATTCCATCTAACCTCATCTAACCAATCACCATCGCCCCACGTTACAGTATACGGAAGAATTGAAACAAATGATCAGACTGTACTCACATTTCTACTGTACTGTCAATAGTGGTACTTACTGTACATACAGACAACAAAGGAAACTATACATAGTCTATTTACCTAGCAATGGAAACATACTGTAAAAAAGACAAAGTGGGAAGAACTATACATGTACAACAGAAGGTAAAGGTGAGATTATGTGGCAGTTTTCCTATGCGTCATGTCGGTCCTGTCTGTTGGGCCACAGATTCTCATCCACATCACAACATATATTTTGTCTTGCTATGCACCGTGGAAAGAATCTTCTTGAGTGCCTAATCCAGCCTCTGCATGCATCTGCTGAGATGTCCTCACATGCTGCATCCATGGCAGCCAGCAGTGTCATCCGCGTATGTGGCTGATGATCATAAACCTTCCACCGCCAAGCCGAGAAAAACTCTTCATTTGGGTTCAGGAATGGGGAGTAGGGTGGAAGGAATTCAATCAGCATCCTGCGGTGGTGGACAAACCACTGCCTGATGTTGTCAGAGCGATGGAAACTGACATTATCACAAATTACTACATACTTTGGTACATCATCTCGATTGAGGTCCCTCTAATCTTCAGGAATGACCTTTCTATAGAGATTGTCTAAGAATGTAAGGAGATGCTGTGTGTTGTACGGTCCCATAATAGGAATATGAGCTAGCACACCTTGGTCTGACATAGCAGCACACATAGTGATGTTTCCTCCCCGTTGGCCTGGGACATCAACAGTAGCTCTCTGGCCGATTAGATTTCTACCACGCCTTCTGCCTTTGGCCAGGTTGAAGCCAGCCTCATCCAAGTATATGAAGTTGTGAGGTGGTTCTCTTCATTAACGAAGGTGAAGACTCACCTGAGAGCAATTTCTCAATTCTGGACATATTTCTTAGCAAACATCTACTCACACTTTGTAGAAATCTGTACAGACATACAATTCTGAGAACATGTTCACTCATTTTGATAGTACAGACTTCCAACCTGAAAAAAAGACTAATTGGTTTGGTGGTTGTGACATTTCAGCTGAGAACCAGGACAAGTTATTTTGCACAGCTGGACAAAAGCAACAAGAATTGTCAAAAACAGCTGACAGATGTACAGAACCATTTGCATGTTGTTCCAAAACAATTGCAATTTGATGAAAACAACAAGAAATTGCTGATATGATGTGAACAACTGACAACAGAATCTGACGGTTGAACAAGTAGTTCTGAGAAATGCAGTTCTGTTGTGAGAAATGAATGAAAGCGATAGAGAAAAACTGTAAAGGAAGAAGAGAGAAGCAATATGAGCCTAAAAGAATTTACCTAATAGAGCTTGACAAACTTAATAACACCTGTGTTCTCACAATGAAACATGACCGCCCTTTTGTGGCCCACTGAAATCTAATACAACAGCCCCTCCAGCACATATACTTCATCACACAATCAGCTCCTTAGCTAGAAGACATCCTGTAACACCACTGGCATTTTCATCATCTTCCTTTAACTACTGCACACTAATGTACATTTTACAACATTAGAGGAAAGAGATTGCTTTACTTTTCTAGTTTAGCCTTGGAAAGGAAGGTTTGTGGCTTGCATTTGTATTGTGCAAGCTGCCCTTTATGTTACCTTACAAATGGCTATACCACAGTAGGTGCTTTGGCACCAAATAGTTCTGGGAACTACCCACTGGAGAGCTACCCCAAAGAACTACACACCTTTATAGGCTTTTTTCTGTTTGCATTTGCACCACCAGTAGGAACGCTGAAGTGGTGTAACAATAAGTCGGTCGACTGTTAGTGATTAGCCAACAGGTTCACAATGGTTAGCACATAGCAACATTACATTATCAGTAAGTTATATGTTGCTAACGTCAATTATATAAGGAGCCACTAACCCTCTGCAGAGGCTTATGTTGGCAGAGTGCAGCTCCCCATGCCACGGGTGATGGCTACTGATCACTATACACAGTAAACACATTTTTTAAAAAGTGGCAGTCAGCGTACATGTACAGTACATCACTCATGTTTCCTATTATGCTTGAAGAGTACCTACCATGAAGTAAAGCAAAACAAGGCCTCAAAATTGCGTTCTAAGAACTATTATCCTTCTCAGTTCCTCTGGTGCAGACACAAAAGGGGGTACTTTTTCCAATTTTCCATTTTTTTCAAACATAGCAAACATATGAACAGTTTAAGACCTAACATAAGCCATTGTTTTCTGTAACAACATATCTTTTATTTCTATCCTTCAAATTGAAGTCTTTTTATGTTTAATCCGCATTTTTGTTGTTGCTTTTTGAGTAGTAGCTAACACCACCACTTCGTTTTGCTCTGGATCTTGGCATCTGTATGAACAATAAGGGCTCTAGTCCTTTGAGTATTGCTTTGGCATTTCAGAATTTGGCCAGTTGTTCATCTGAAGGAGCTGCAGGCAATTTATCTGCACAGATTGGACATGAAAAGAGGACAGATGTGTTGTACCTTGAGTTGATGGCATGAACAACTTTGCAGTGTTTTATAGAGCGCTGACTGATGAGAGGTAAAACATGGGCATTAGGTTTGGATGGTGAAAACACTGTGAAAAGCCTCTTTCAGCTCTTCAGGTGCTCAGTACTAGAGACGCTTGTTCAGAAAGCTTTGATTTGAAAAGCACACCATGTCATGGTTGTTTGTCCCCTGTTGTCTCTGTACATTCCTGTGGATCAGCAAGTGCATGATTCCGATGTGAAAGGCAGATGTGGTTAATTAGTTCTGGGCAGAGGGAAAAGGCTTAAACCCAGTACAGCAGTCCTAGTCA